CCTTGTCAAAAATCAGTTGGCCATAAATTTGAAGGTGTATTTATGGACTCTGAATTCTATTCCATTGATCTGTATTCCTATCCATATTCCAGCACAACATTGTCTTCATTGCTGTAGCTTGTAACAACTTTTATAATTGAGAAGGCCTGCAAATTACTTTTAAATATTTCTTTGGCTATTTGGATCATTTTCATATGATTTTTAAAAGGATTGGCTTGTCAATTTCTGCAAAGAGTCCAGCTAGGGCTTTGGTAGGGATTGCATGGGATCTACAGATCAACTTGGGTTGTGTTGCCATTTTAACAATAGTAAGTCTTCTAGTTGACAAACTTGAGATGTCTTTCCATTTATTTAGACCTTCTTTAATTTCTTCCAACAATGTTGTGTAGTTGTTAGTGTACACTTCTTATACTTCTTTTGTTAAGTTTATTTCTAAGTATTTTGTTCTTTTTGATCTCATTGTAAATGGAATTTTAAAAAATTATTTTTGGATCATTAATTACTGTTGTACAGAAATGCAGTTGATTTTTGTACATTTATCTTGTATCTTGCAACCTTGCTGAAGCTGTATATTAGTTCTCATTGTTTGTTTGTGTGGATTCATTAGGATTTTTTACATGCAAGATTTATGTCATCTGTGGGTAGAGATAGTTTTGCTTTTTTCCACTGTAGATACATTTTGTATCTTTTTTTTTTTTTTTTGCCAAATTGTTCTTGCTGGAGCCTCTAGTATAATGTTGAATAGAATCAACTAGAATGGATATCCTTTAAGTAGATTTTTTCAATGTTTACCAGTTTGGAAATATTTATTACTAACAGTGTTCCTTTGTGAACTTGAAAATGCAGCCATTCTTCTGGAGTAGCAAAAGTGATAAAATTTCTTTTATTGGAATTTAGCATGTTATTTATTTTTAGAATGTCAAGGCACAATAGATCCTAGATTGGCATTTTTCAAAAGCTTGATATCTTTGCTTTGTTAACTTTTTGATTTTTTTTCCTAAAGTAAGTAAAGTAAGCCAACTATAGGACTTTTACAAACAGATCTCTGAAGTATGTTCCTTCCTAAAGAATATGCTTGCTGCGTATATTTGAAAGAATGAGTAATCAGGACATTCATATTATCTCTGCTTGTGCTTTTCAGCCAAGGCTTGAGTTAATGCCTTATAGTTAGCACTTTTGAATTATAATTTATTGCAGATACAGTTGATCATCTGAGATGATGATAGTGGGTAGGGTGAGAGATGGTGGTTGTACTACTTTTGCTAATTTAATTTTATACCTGTCTTCTGAAGGATACATTTTCTTGTTTAAATTTCTTCCCTACAGAAAGCTCCAGGAGTGACTTTGCTATGCCTTCTTCTTCTTTTTTTAAATAAAAATATATTTTATTTTTAGTTTGTTGTGTGTGTTGCATTTCTCACATTTTATTTTATTTTTATTTTTATTTTTTATTTTTCTTTCTTTTTTTTTTTTTTTTTTGAGACGGAGTCTCGCTCTGTCGCCCAGGCTGGAGTGCAGTGGCCAGATCTCAGCTCACTGCAAGCTCCACCTCC